AGGTCCGTACGTTTTTATTTTAAGGAAATATTGCGTACGATATAAGTTATTAGCATCTAAATATCTATATTTTTGACTTAAAAACTTCCTCGTGCGTTTTTTTAAAGTAAATTAAACTGAATTTCTAAAAAAAATACAGACCTAAAGTAAGGTATACTGAATTTAATGAGACCAAAATTGTCTCATTTCGTTAAGGTTTAGGGGGGTGAAAACTTTATCGCTCGAAGCAATATTTTCAAAAGAAAATGTAGGTAATTAATTCCAACATTTGCAACTCTCTATCGCACGACGGCGATACGGAGTAGACGTGTGTCAATCATTCATTTCTCGTGACGGAATCATTCTAATACATTTCGTCACGCGTACCGGTACACTCGGATCGATCATTCAAATGGATTATTTCGTGCTCCAGTAAAAACAACACTAAAAACAATTCATTCAGATAATTCGAGATTCGGTTGGTTTTCGACTCATTCACAATTCACACCAATCAGAGTTAAAAAGGTACCGTCAAATGTTTGTGGTTGGTTGTACTGGAACATTCAAAAACAGATGAAGAACCATCAATACTTTTAAGTGTACCAGCTCAAACGAACGAATCATTCATGATCGATACATGTCTAGTACGGAGCGAGCGATGTGTAACAGATAGCATTTTCGAAAATACCTACTCGCGTGCGTATCGGCTTTTCACAATCCTCTTAAATTGACTATAAAAACGTGGTAAAAACATTGCACTTGCTAATAAGGCAAAAATAAGGGTACAACCACGGTCCACCTGATGGTAAGTGGATGCTGTGGCCCATAGACAACTAAATCTCATACAGATTCGTTGTCACCACTGAGGACTAAAAAGAAATGCCTCGTTTCCAGTAAAAAGGGTCTCCGGTTCTCTACACTCACCAGACGAAACACAGCAGTATTAAGCTGCTATTTTATGCTGGTATCACAGTCTATAAATCCATACTTTATTTATTATATTGTGCTGGTATTCTGTGAGTGCGTGGTCCCTCCCCGGTCGAGCCGACCCATTCGTGCTACAACCATAATATAGCTGCAGCGAGGCTCTGACTACATGCTAAGCCTAAGGAGTATTACGCAATGTAGATAACGCGGTCGTCCTCAGTATAAGTACACACTCGTTTCAATACACACACCGTAGGAAAGACAGTAGTACTATTCGGCTATTTCACGCTGATATTTTGATTGAAACTTGTCCTTCCCTCGTCATGCCCACTCATTTGTTCGCTACATCATGGCTTTACTATCTTAAACGTCATGTTAATACCTTTACACTCCAGCAACCGGTTGCGGTGAGACTCTCTGGTTACACGCGTGACATCTGATGGAAGCTCGACTAAATATTATAATATTCTCAATTAGGTGTAAACACTTTAACACTATTAACCACTGTAATCGCTTTTCATGATTTTAAAATACAGTGTAGCAGATTTTTTTGCCGACTTCAAAAAGGAGGAGGTACACAATTCGACTGTATTTTTTTGATGTGAGTTACCTCAGAACTTTTTTCTAGATCAATCGATTTTGATGATTTTTTTATTTGAGCTGCTGCTTGTCATTGGGGTTTTTTTTTAATAGGATGGGGTGATAAACGAGCACACTTAGGGGTGACAACGCATCTGCGTTTTGATTCTTAATCGAGCATAAATGTAGATGTCTATCGACCACAGCATCCACTTACCATCACGTGGACTGTGTGCTCGTTTGTCACCCTTGTGTCCTACCACTTAGTTAAACTTCCCCTACTAGTTTTTCTTTCTTATATTATCAGTAATATATACAAATCAGTTACTGTCAGTTAGTCCCGTTACAACCCAAAAACGACTCGGACGATTTTGATAATTTTTTTGTTAATTGATAGAAAAAAGGCGTCACTTTGCGGAAATCCATTATAATAAAGATATTAATAGATTAATTCGCAACCTTCCGCTTAAGTAAATAAAATGATGTGTCTTACCTGGATTGAATAGCAATTGAGGGAGGACGGGAGGTGCTTTTCAATCCAGGTAAGACACATCATTGTATTTAGTTATTTAGCGGAAGGTTGCAAAGTAATTTATATCTTTATTATTAAATTTTTTGTGATTTGAATGGGTCCTTGGATGGTTTAAAAGCTCAATTGGACACGGTGGGTGACGTTGTTGTCGAGGACCTGAAATCACCAGTACGAAGTCGGGGCAGATAAAATGTTGCCTGAATTAAATTTTTTTTATAGAGTAAGCTAAAATGATCAAGAATAAGAAATGCAGCATCTTATTAACGATTTAATTTTGGAAGCGAAGTATTAGTAAGAAGTAACCTTGTGCTCGTACAGCTTCCACTAGACCAATTTCTTTCTATAAGTAATACGATCAAATACGCGTTATCTTTGCATTGGAAGATCTGACGGAAGAGCTAAGTTTAGCAATTGAACTTCTAATTGCTCGAGAGATCTACGTCACCTTTTATCAAATCTCGACGGCTCAGTGGCGCAGTGCCTTAGCATTGAGTTTCAGCACTGAGAGCCGTGGGTTCGAATCCCGCACCGAGCAAGTATTTGTATGGCTTGGAAATAATTTTTCGGTTCTGAATGTTTGTCCTTATGAAATTAATGTGTGTAAACTCATACAGGAGAAAGTCCTAGTGTTTTTTTTTAAAATTAGAATAAGGGTGACAAACGGACAATCCACGTGATGGTAAGTGGATGCCGTGGCCGATTAACATCTACATTTATCTTCAATTAAGAATCAAAATGCAGATGCGTTGCCAGTCCTGAGGACTAAGATGGAATGCCTCGTTTCCGCTAAGAAGGGTCTCCGGATCTCTACAGTCGCCATGCGAAACACAGCAGCATTAACCTGCTGTTTTAGGCTGGTATTCGGTGAGAGCGTGGTCCTGCCCCGGTCGAGCCGACCCATTCGTACAGCTATCCTATACAACATCATCCTGTACAACCATCATATAGCTGCAGCGTGGCTCTACCACGTATAATAAGTGATTCTTAATCGAGAATAGATGTAGATGTGTATGGGCCATAGCATCCACTTACTACATAGACATGGTGCTTGTTCGTTACTGTGGCCGTAGAAGGAAAAGGGGGGAACTCCCGCTGCGCAAGGTTTTGTGCCCGGGGAGCGGCCAACGCTCCGTGTGATAGTTCGGAGCTGTTCTGCTATGGGCTATGTTTCGTATGGTGAGTGTAGAGAGACCCGCAAACCCTTTTTACTGGAAACGAGGCATTCCATCTTAGTCCTCAGTGGTGACAACGCATTTTCATTTTATTCCTAAGATAATAGTGAATGTCTATGGGCCACAGCATCCACTTACAATTAGGTGGAATGTGTGCTCGTTTGTCATCCAATGCTATAAAAAAATCAAAAGGTAGATGCATTGTCGATGGAATGCCTCGTTTCCAGTAAAAAGGATCTCCGGTTCCCTACACAACAAAAAAATATAAGCTAGTATTATGTTGGAACGTGATCCTTACCATTCCATGTTAGCCTGCAGGTGTGACAACACATCTGCACTTTAATTGTTACTTGAGGATAGGTGTAGATGTCTATGGATGACAGACTGTGTATTCGTTTGTCACCCTTATTCTTTAAAGAAAATCTATCAGAAGTTTCTAAGATTTGTCAGTGGCTGGTATTTCCAACAGTTGCCACATGGCATGGATCGGGGTTAGTGAAAGCAAACATTTTGAACCAATTACCTAATTAAAACTGTCGCAAAACTAGTTTTTAAAAGTGATTGATCTAGTCCACCTAGCTTTGGCATGTAACGCTTTTTTGTAACACGTGAAAAAAATCTTAAAAAAAAAAATAAAGTATTCACTATTTACTAAGTGTGCGTTTGTTTTGGTCACAGCTTATAGGGTTGGGTTTAAGTGGCCTGAATTTGAGGGTTCTGTCACTGTGAGGGAGGATTATTTAAATAAAAAAACTAAGCACGTCCAGCAGGAGGGGAAGTGGGAGCGACTCTACAACTTCCCTTCCCTCCCCACAACCACCACCTCCTAATTCAGGCGACTTATCAAATCTTACCCAGCTTATATACTACGTTGTGAATGGTTTTGAGTGTTTGATGTTTTAATATAGTATACATAATATAGAGATGTTTCTAATTCCTAACTCTTTATTTTTAAAAATAAAAATTGTTTAACGTGACAACGTCATAACAAAACATTGATGAAATGATTGTGTATACTATGTGGAAGAGAAATAGATGCGGCGCAAGCCGCACAAGCGGATCGTGCCTTTCGCTCGCTCGTGCGGCGCTTTCGCTCCGATCGTTACACTTACACGTTACAATGGGCGTAACGTTACAATTAGTTATCCTTTTTCGTGCGTGCAACCGGCGTTCATCGATTTATTAGACGTTGTCACGTCAAAAAAGAAGAGACAAGAATAGAAGTACGAGATCCTCTTTGAAAAATATTTAATTTGAATTTTTATTTAATATACGATTTTGTTTCATCCATAGAATACTAAAATACATACATAATAGAACGGGGTAGTGGGCGGAGTCCGTGTAGCCACTAAAATGTCACTAACATGTCAATTCACATGTATAAATGTCAACACTACTCGATAAATTTTATATTCAAACTAGCTTGCCAAGCAGACGTTGTTCTGCCCTTTTCGACGACCCTATGTCATGTCCTATTAAAAATCCTTAAATTCGCAAAAAAAAATTGTGGTTCAATCATGGGTAAAACAACTATCCTATCTCTCAAGTTGGGTCAAACTGCACATGGTGTACAAATTTAATTATAATCGGTTGAGTAGTTTAGGAGTCCATCTCGGACAAACAACGTGACACGTGATTTATACATATTAATATTAAGATAATATACCATATTTTTACCATTAGTAATAAAGTTAAAAGAAGTATGAAAAAGTGAAATTAGTTTCAATTCAAATTAAGAATGTAATCGTGCGAAAGTGTTCAAAAGTGCAAGATTTAGTTGGTGGGGATAAGTGGCGACGTAACGTCGGAACATGTTGAATCAATTCCGCGCAGTCGCTCTCCAGACGCGATTGAGTGAAAATGCGGTGGACGGACAAAAAGTGGAGATGGAAGATACGGAAGACGCGCTCGACGCATCGCAGTACTTTGTTGAAGACCTTGTTGATCCTTGGCAGGAAAGAGGTGAGCTTGTGGGTCTTGTGAAGTGAAGCTGAAGTAGCGATGTGCAGTTTATACAGCTCAAAGAATCGATAACTGATGGGGAAGGGAAAAACAGATTTTCGAGTGACAGCCTCTGTAAGCAACGTATAGGCTCTCCACGAGGTAGATTGACGACCTGGTAAGTCGATAGATGCAGGTGGGTCAGGACCGTGCTTTGTGGCATTACTCTGAGGGGCCTATGTTTGATAATGGACTTGTAATTATGATGAGTGTAGTGAGAGTGATGATGTAGTCGAAGAAGATGAGAGTCGAAGATGGTGAAGCGCACAATCTTCTTTCTTCTTCATAAGCCTGTAAAAGTCTAGTCCATTGATGGACTTTTTTTACAGAATTAGGGTGAAAAAATGAGCACACAGTTCACTTGATGGTAAGCGGATGCTGTGGCCCATAGACATCTACATTTTATCTTCAATTAAGAATCAAAACGCAGATGCATTTTCACCCCTGAGAAACTCGTTTCCAGTAAAAAAAGGTCTCCGGATCTCTACATTCACCATACGAAACACAGCAATATCAAGCTATTTTACGCTGGCATTCTGTGAGAGCGTGGTCCCTCCCCGGTCGAGCCGACCCATTCGTGCTACAACCATAATATAGCTTCAGCGTGTCTCTACCCCGTACGAAAAATTATCCTCTCCCCTTATAAGGAGGGTTTGATTTAATCTTGACGCTAAGCAAATGTAATGAGGATCACAGCACCAGAAGTCTCTCACCATTGAACCTACTGCTATTCGCCAGTTTTATTATCATTATTCTAAGTCAGCGCTTAGCTACAATCCCACCTGATGCTAAGTGGTGATGTAACCTAAGATGGTGAAGCGCACTAACTTAACAAAAGCCCATTCACTGTAGCCTTGAACTTACAGTGTTGTTGTCCTACTCTGTAATCGGATGGAAGGACATGCTGGCAACTTATTCCACTCCTTTGCTGTACTTATGATGAACAACGAAGCAAATATTTCTGTCGAAACCGTTTCACTGCCATCTAGCGGATTCCAGACCGTTTTGGCATAAACCATAGTCGCCTCTTACGACACCCACGATTAGCATTAGGGTAATATTGAAAAAAGTGATATAAAAATTTCTTGAGATGTCTCTCTTTTCGTCATGGTTGCAATCGCGAGTTGGCCTCCTACACAGATAGGCTGCAGAAAGAAGTATGCCCACTTTCTATACATTGATTGACCTGTTACTTGATTCGTTCTACAGGTCGAGTCTACCTACAACTACTGTTGCATAAAATTATAATAACAAAATAACTTATCACCTTTCCATTTAGAGGCCAGGAAAAAATGCTATATATAATAATGTGTCCGTGATCGCAAGCTCACTCAAAGTGCACCGCCACCGTAACAACACATCATATTACAACCCAGTGGTTAGGATGTGTCGCATATACAATGATATATCCCACTGCCTCGTTGGTCTAGTGGTTGTAGTAGTGCGACTGCTGATCATGAGGTCCTGGGTTCGAATCCCGGGTCCGGCCAAAAAATCAATTATTGATTTTTTTCTGTCAAGAAATTCTCAGTAGCTGCCCGGAGTCAGGAAGTTGGCGGTGTCTCACCCCCGTGCTTCGGAAAGCACGTAAAGTTGTTGGCCCTGCGCCTGATCTCTCTGCGGTCGTGTCGGTTTATCGTCCTATCGGATTATGAGAGTAAGGCAATAGAGAGTGCACCTGTGCTTGCGCATACACTTGGGCACTATAATCCTGTCCTGCGCCAATGACTAGCCTCCTCTGAGGCAGGCCGCCGTGACCGAAATTCGGTTTGAGAACATTATTGTTATTATATATCCCAAGACTATCCAAATGTTGATATTCTAGGTTCAAGTTCAAATGTCTTCAATAGATCTATCTGTGATATTCTGAAATAATTTGTCTCATCTATGTTATGTTTCTACTTACTTTTGTTCTAGTTTTAATTCTGTAACAGGCCTCTTATAATCTGCTGGATGGGTGATTGAAAAACCACTGTTTATTAAAAGACGGCGGGTTGCTCTCCGGGAGTGCCGGCAGAAGTGAAAACTTGAATATTAACGTTGTGCATTTTTGATATTTTGTAATGATTTGGGAATAATTTTGCACGAATTTTTTCGACGATTACTTTAATTATCACACACGAGCAATCGCGCAAGCGCCCTGCGCCGCCTAAACGAAACAGCCAGTGTTGTCAACATTAAAATCTAGCTCCCGTTGTAGAGAACACTATAATTCCGTCCAGTACGGTAGACAAGTGTCAATCATTCATTGTATTGCATACATACATTTTTTCGTACATTTAAACTAAAAAAATGAATAAAATTATAATTTAATTTTTGTCATTTCCAAATTATTTTTATTTCGAAAACATCTAAAAAAACATAAATTTTTGTCGTCCCGTTAAAAAATCCGTTAGCCATTAAACACAATTGTTTCCCGTTGCCAACCACGCTGTCCCGTCAAATCTAACGGGAAACCCGTCAAGTTGGCAACACAGGAAACAGCAGGCGCAGGCATACATTTTCTCCGCGCCGTAGAAAGAGAGGGGGATACTTCCTCTCCTACGCCGCGCCGGCTGTCTCTCTCCATCCGTCTTACGCATTTTCGATCAGGGTCACGTGTCATGACGCGAGTTTAACATTTTTTACCCATTACAAAAAAGTGTTCAACGCCGCTAAAGAAGTTTTCACATCAAAAATTATTTATAACTTTAGTAGATGTAACTCATTATAATGTACTTCATACACATGTGTTCTGGCTTACAGTAGTACTTAACTGAACGTATACTATTATACGTTTACGTTAGTATATCTTCCACCCGCCGCCCATGTTATTTCATTAGTTTTCAACACTTTTTCACGTCAAATATCGTCATTATCACTGACACGGGCGTCGGTACAGCGGGGTCTTTGACAAAGCTATTACTCCCTGGCTATGCATAGGTAATAAAACCACATACAATATGAAAATAATTTATTTTAATTTAATTTAATTTTTTTATAGTCGAGTTTTGTAAAGTTATTTCTATTGTATATTTTATATTGCATTAAATGGAACTGATTTTACGGATTTTCTCGCGTTTAATTTTAACTTTTTAATTTTTTTAATTTTCATTGCCTTACAGCAACCATGGTCATGGGTGCTACAAGCTTGATTCTGAATGTGGTCTTTCTTACAGAGGACAAACAATAAGATCTATAAAATCCCGCGTAAACAGTGTGGATTAAGAATCGTTTTGCAGGAATTTGGGAGAGTATAGTGTTTTATTTGTTAGAACTTTGGTCATCGATTATAACAATACATATCGCATTAAAAGGTAATGCACAGTTCTCGAGAAAATTAAAAAAATACTATTATAACCTAAAATATGTAAAACATAGAAAAATATATTATGTAATATCACTGTGAAAACTGGATAGCATACGGAATTTTGTTTTAGTGCGACAAGGACGTAAACCATGTTAAAGACTAGTGTCCCATAATACTTCTGTGGCATTTATAGGGTATGTTCCGAAATACAACCCAGTACACTGTTAAATGCTAATGACGTCATCAATTGACACTATATTGTACTGGCGTGCCGCCGCCATATTGCGTCGGATATCCGGCCACAATAAAACAATTTTTATTTGTGTGTGCGCTGAATGAAGCATGCCAGAATTTGTTTCTATTTATTCAAATACAAAAAAATTATAGAATAATTGCTGGTATATCCATTAGGAGGATATAATGATTTTTGGATCACAAAATGACAAAATAATCGCCAACACTTTTCTAAATGGCGCAAAAGTATGACGTCATATTTTGTCCAATGTTTTGGAACGAATCACCAGTATAGCGTCGATTCATGACGTCATTTGCATTGGACAGTACACTGCGTTGTATTTCGGAACATACCCATAATTTACTTCGGTCTATACTATGTCAAGTGTCAAATCACATGACGTACTAATTTATTTGCATTCCGCCGTTGGTAGCTCTTCTTACGTGAATGCCTGCTCTCCAGTGTGTTTTGCATTGCATCTTTTATCGTGGTATACTTTAGCACCCAGAAATACTTTCTGTTGAAATAGGTTAGAAGGAATTTAATCATCGCACGTCGCAACAAAACTCGCGATACCATCCATGCCATCTGGTTGACTGGCGATACACCACCGTGCCACGGTAATAATATTATCTATACAGTATTCCAACTCCATACAAACGAACGAAGCGAGAGCTATGCCTACGCGCCTCGATCTCGGCATGCGCTCGGCATGCAGACACTCGTGACTGCCGCAGTGATGATTTTGTGGAATATATATAAAAAAAATGGAGGAAATAAATAATAGAATAGAAATAAAGAAATAAATCCGAACTTCATTTAAAACCAAACATATAAATTGTAAAATAGCTGCAGGTATCTATAACCAAGTAAAAATATTTCTTTTCTCCACCTTGTCCATGTTTCCCAAAACAATTTTTAATTAAGCTTTATATTAGAATGCGGATTTTTATACTTAAAATTTTAATAATAAAGCATTTCGTACGTCTCAGCCAGGCGCAAATATTTTTCTGTCGCAAATTTATAAGACCGATTTGTTATTCAAATAAACATGGTTTTTTAATTATATCTACGATCAATAAACGACACGCATTTTATTGAACACTTCCTATTCAATTCACAAAGTATCTATTTTATTTGTTTATATAAAAAAGTATATTTACAATCATAAAACTAAATAGAAACACAAAATAGGCATATGTAATTAAAATGCTGGAGGCAGGCAGCCCTATCGCATGTTTACGTACCGCGCGGCTGTAGGCATTTATTTCAAAGATACGGCCGAGTTACAATACTGTATAGATCTTATTACCGTGACCGTGCGATTTAAAAGAAGTTTTCTTCCGCGCACAACTTCCTTGTGGAATTGACTACCACCTTCGATTTTTTCGGACTGATATGACTCGGGCACTTTCAAGAAAAGAGCCTACTCTTTTT